GGGATGTGTGAGGAAGAGTTGGCATATGGTATGGTCCAATCAGGCCCCAATCTTTATCCATCTGGCCCCCTTCTTTATGGTATACGGTACGCACCGGAACTGCTTTTCATTGACCATTCGGTAGATGCCGTCGGTTCCTGGCTTTGGCATGTCCTCTTTGTTGAGCGCACTGAGTTCCGCCACTTCTTTGGCCATCTCTCGGTGTGTTTTGAGCATCCCATTGACGAGACCAGAGAGATTTTCTTCTGTTTCGGTGGTGCTATTCTTGGTGGATGCCAATACCGTCAAATGCTTCTCATTTCTCTTCTGATCGTGGCTCAATGTTCTACTCGAGAACACCCCATGGGCTGACTGAAACGCCTCTGCCAAGGGCCCCAACAGTAGCAATGACAGAATCAAGGAAACAGGCTTCATCTTTGGTTATCTTGCGACAGGCGGCGGGGTGGGTAGAACCTTGGGAAGGGGGTAGATCCTGCTTCAGAGCTACCAACGCTATTTGTGGACAGTTCAGGGCTGGAAGACTCCAAGACCGTACCGTACCGGTTCTCAGTTGATGATGGCAAACAGCCGGTAGCATTGGATCCTTCTTTCCCATGGCGAGAAGAGTTGACGTGGTGCAGTTTGTGTCAAGTGTCTTCGCATCTTGATCATCCAACCTCAACGCCCATTTCGGATTTCGGAGGCACATTTTCCCTAACCTTAGGCAATTTGCTGACGTCATCCATAGCTTTCCATTCTTCGAACCGCTTGTTCCCCTACAGTACCGGTGCCGGTACCGGTACGATGTACCACCAGGTACCAGGTACCGTGGTATTTAAAATACCGTGGTTCGGTATCTCCAAAACCGTGACTGTCACTCACCATCGTGTTCCATTTGCTTCAGTCCGTCTGTGTTTTGTTTCGTTCATCGCTACCGGTAGCTAGCCAGGTTCAGATGCAGCCGCTAGCACCCTGACTGCGGTTGCTACCCACCACCTGCTTTGCTACGCTCTCCTATTCAAGATTTCCGCCGCCCAACATGGCTCCACCTCGTTCCTCTGCAGCGGAGAATGTTGCATTTACCACGCCAACTACCATGGCAAGCTGAAGACCCATGGAGGATTGGTTGACAAGATACGAAGAGGTCACTCATCGCTCGAACCGCCAAGGCCCACTCATTGGCTCGACGACCTGTTCTTCTCCAATTTCAGCCACCAGTCAGCAAGTTCAACAAATCTTTTTTGGTTGCAGAGACCAAGAGTGTCATCAAGCAAGTTTCCAAATATGTCGAGTTATATGCTACGGACTAGTGGAGCGTTTGACTCCCCTCGCAAATAATACTGGCATGTGACCAATGCCACAGATTGTGCAAACACAACCTTCCATCACCCGCCTAGAATCTTAGTATCGAAAGGCCCTGTTTTGATGGTTGTTTGCAGCCAAATCGTCAGGAACCAACTCACGCGCTCCATGAGGATGGGTGTCTCCAGACATGTCATTTCTCTCACTAAGCATGTCAGCGCACAGCTTGTCAATAGAACTTGCTGAAATCAAATGACACATTCGGTCTACTTGCCACGTAATGGGAGTGTAGGCGGAACAAATCTCGTCGTTGAAAGATGTGCCAGTTGTGGAACCTGTGTACTTGGTGACATATTTGCCCATCTCGCCATCAACAAGCATACCACGCATCATCTGAGGATAGAAGTAGGTTTCATCGTTGACAATGACAAACACTTGGGCCTGCACGCCAACGGTGAGCGAAAGGGGGTCAAGCTCAATTTCATCGGATTTACAAAAGACACCATCCTGGAATGGAGTCTGGTACTGGTTCAGGGTGCCACAAGCACCAGCACTGGAATGTGGCCAGTGAATTTCATAGGTTTCACCAACTGTCATGCTCGTGCAGTATTGCCAGTCATATGGTGTTGTGAACTTGGGGTCGGTTTCATCGTAGAGGCTGCACTCGTAGCCAAGACGAGCCTCATCTTCTGGGTAAGATCCATGGAAACCTTCATCGAGTTCACGAGTTGGACCAGATCCATTTTCATCGTATTGACCCAAAGAATAATGCTCCGTGCCACGGTGCCAGTGGACGTTGACGGGACAAAGACCAGCTTCAAAGAAGGTAGAGGTGATCGGCACTGCTTCAGTTTCGTCTCGCCGACGTAGCCTTCCGTCACATTTGCTCCAGCTTGTTCCAGGGCATTGACGACCCCGTCAATCATACACGCAATAGATTCAAAGTCTGGGTCAGTTCCTTCGCAAGTGTTGTCACCAGGAGGAGGAGGGCGAACAAACGTAAAAGAAGGGCTCCCTTCCACTGCGATATTATCATCATCCATGCCACCGGCACTCTCCATCACATCATCATCACCAAGGCAAATGGCCAGTGTGTCTTGGCAGTTCACCAAGTCATATTCGCAATTGTCTTCGGCGGCCTTTTGAAGAAGACGCAAAAAGCTGCCTCGAGCAGGAGACACCAGATTGATGAGAATACCAACGGCGACAGTGACTTTCATGACTTCTGAAGGGGGTACAAGATCGAGGGTTTTGAATGTGTGAGCCCAGTGGCAGCAACAAGGAAAATAAGGCGGGCAGATCGTCACGAAGAATCCGTACCTCAGCTTGGAAAGCTTCGGCAGGTTGTTGAATACTAGCTAGCTAACCAGAGCTTCAGCAGCGGCGGCGGGTCATCAGTGTTGATAGTTGGCCTCCGTTGAAGTCTTGGGAGACAAGAAAAATGAGCTGGAATTGCGAGAGATCTTTTTTTGAGGGACGATGACCTCATTCATTGAATTTTATGTCTGTAAAGAAAATCAGTATAATTATCAAGATAATATTTATAGGAGTGTATTACTTGTTACTAGCACAAGCTAGCTACCGGTAGCATTTGTAAAGTTTCAGGTACCTGCATACTAATGAAAAGAATGTACTGTATGTACAATTTAAATATCCAGCTGGAGACTGCATGACCAAGTGCCAGATGCTCCCTTTGGATGCTGCCGCGGATGGCAAGTGGCTAACTGAGTACTTACAAACTAACACTGTTACACGACGCAACGACAGGTGAGAAGACACAGGTTGGTGTCTTATGAGGGATGTCTTGTGACGGACGTGCTCGAATGCGAAAGATCTGGGCACAGAATAGAGTTATCTCATCAACGAGGTAAACGTGTAAAGTAGCGGATGGCACTGAGGATATCATTCACTGATGACAAGTATCGTGATCCCGTAATGGTACTGGTACCGTACGCTAATCCGCTATTTATTTCAAATGAGACCGGGGCCGAGCGTGGGCGAGACGAGAACGAAAACCAAAAAGGACTTCGGAGCGAACATAATAACAACATAACAACCCCAGCAGCCGAACTAAAGCCGATCCTATCCGTCCCTGATTACGGTCATGCCGTAACGGTAACACCGCAAACAAGAGGCTTGGCAATTGGCATTTAAGTCAGCGGAAGCTGTGATACCTCGGCAGATAGACAGATGGAAGAAGAGGATCATGTTTGAGATTGGTTGTGATTTGCGCAACCCAAAATGCGCGAGTTTTGGGGTACCCCGGTGTTGCATGCTCTTAGTTAGCTATCCATACCAGGTACTGTAGAGGCTGGGCGACAACACGTGATTTTGTTTTTTTATTGGTGGTGAGCGCTTTGTGACTGACTTTTTCTCAATCCCGAGTTTCAAAACGGAGTGATACGATTTTGCTGTGAGCCATACTATTAAAGGACACTGGAGGTGTAATAGATATACCGGGCGAGCTGACTAAAAAAATGGGCCGGCATAGTAATATTGTTGAAGTTTGGCTGAAGGTAGTGTCATTAGATTTTTCCGTCTGAGAAAGAGGCGTGGTAGCTTACGGGAGTTTAGAGATGTGCAACATGAGACGTTAGATTTTTCCATCTGAGAAAGTGGTGTGGTAGCTTACGGGAGTTTAGAGGTGTGCAACGTGAGACGTTAGATTTTTCCGTCTGAGAAAGAGGCGTGGTAGCTTATGGGAGTTTAGAGATGTGCAACGTGAGATGTTAGATTTTCCCATCTGAGAAAGTGGCGTGGTAGCTTACGGGAGTTTAGAGGTGTGCAAATGTGAGGAAAATATTCAGGATCCGTTGCTATAAGAGAATGTGTGAGAAATGTGGGGGCCCAAGTGGGGGCTTCGTTTTTAGATAAACTCTAACCTAAAGGATAACCAACCAACCAAAACCAACCAACCACCACCACAATAAACGTGTTCAGAGATCACCGGGGTCTGCCCGGTATATAATAGTACCGGTATGCCATACCAGCTAAATACCGGTACCGGTAGACGCTGACTCATCTTACTGTTGTTGCTGTCGTCGACAATTGGGCTTGTTGTTGCTGTCGTCGACAATTAATTTGTTGTTGACTGGACAACAGGCAACAACAAGAAGACCTTTGAGCTCTCACAACGTCTCAACCATGAGGAGACAAGAGCTAAGGCCGCTCTCTACCCAAGCGACTAAAGTAGCGACTAAGCCATATTTCGTAGTTTAGTCGATAGTTTAGTCTCTGAGGGTGGTGTCTACCCAAGCGACTAAACGTCCCACGGACTAAAGGCTTTAGTCATTATGTTCGCTCACCGACTAACGGGAGGCTGGTTAGTCGGTGAGCGAACATAACGACTAAAGCCTCTTTAAGAACTCTTTAAGAACAGCACTTTAAAAAAAGAACAGCACTTTGAAAAAAGAACAGCACCCTCATTGCACAGCCTCACTATCAGAGCATCGCGACAGAGCTGATAGAGTAGAGGTGCAACCGATCGAACGATCGAAGAGGAGTATCGGATCGAACGACCGAAGAGGAGTATCGGCTGATAGTAGAGGTGCGATCGAACGATCGAACGATCGAACGATCGAACGATCGAACGATCGAACGATCGAAGAGGAGTATCAGCCGCACCTCTATCGCACTTACCCTTTATCAAGCCGACAGTCTTCGGTTGAGAATAGAAAGCCATCCCTCATTGCAGAGTATGGAGTGCGGGATGGCTTTCATTTCTCGGCCTTTGACTGAATGATAGTAGAGGTGCAAACGATCGAACGATGGAATGACAGAGGAGAGGTGCATCGCAATGGTGTGTTTTGAGTCTTGTTATCTCAGTCTTGTTATCTCAAAAAAGTAATCACTTCTTTTAAGTCTTTGTTTGAGTCCTTTAAATCCACCATGCTGATAGAATATTGGTAGCCCACCAAGTGATCACTTTTGTTAAATCTTGTCTGAGTCCTTTAAGTCCACTAGTGTTCCGTTTAGTCATTTGTTTAGTGCTCTGGGTAGACAGGTCCAAATGACTAAAGAACTGACTAAATTGTTTAGTCCGAGATTTAGTCATCTGCTGGTAGACACCACCATTACTAAAGGATAATGACTAAATCTTGAACTAAACAACCACCTAAAGGATTCCTTTAGTGGCTACTTTAGTCCCTCCGGTAGAGAGCGGCCTAATACGATGGAATTGGAGGCATGGGCAAATCCGACGGTTCTAGGCAATAATATCCGATCTCTTGATTGGCTCTGACAACGACGTTGTCAGTACATGTATCCTAACCAACCAGCAGCAATAATTACAGACAGTGCAGTAGCAGCAACACTAAAGGTAAGTTTGAATATGCAGTTGACTGAGACCAGCATACGAGTATTAATGATCATATATTTCTCACTCAATTCCTCTCCCATTGCATGGCATCCCAACGGTACCGGTATTCCATCCAACAAACCTACCATACATAAGTCGATGGCCAGGCCTGGGAAGGTCAGCAAACTCGTCTTCAGAGTTAGCCTCCTGCTACCACTGACAGAAGAAGATCAACAATTATGTCTTCATGAGCGAGCAACAAAACAATTCGACTTCTATTGACCATTGGCAGAGTGCTTGTGTGAGAAATACCCTTGGGACAGTCTCCAATACAAGTAGCCATCGGCATTGCCAGTAGCATCCAGTTGTCTTGGAAGACTTCCCAGTCTTTGTAATGCTCCTTGTTCGTCATGTGTGGGAAAATTATGGATGTCAATGCTGAAGCAAGTCAAGCAATCCATTGTCGATTTTTGAAGGCACCGCAACAAGATCCATTGAGAAAGAGAATGGTTCCTGGTTCTAGTACTTTGCCGTGCCGCACATGAAATAGCAGCTGGCAGTACGGATAAAGCAACTACCAGACATTACAGTTACCACTATGATGCGAACGCATATCATTCAAGAGATGCAGATGAGACATCCAAGCAAAGAATGACCCTGACAAGAAGGCGCTTCTGAAGCGACCTGCTGTGACTTGTGGCTTTATCGCATGTCTTGGTTCCTTCCAGCGAATCAAGAGATCCCACCTTTTTCGCTGCTAGCTATCCATCCAGCACCAATGCCATTGGCATCTATTTGCCAGCATCTCAATCCCTTTATGGCGCTATTGTTCCGCGCATGGGGTTGTTCGCAAGTCAAAGAAGGAGCCAACACGGAAACACCATACCATGAATCTACAGATCATCCTTGGCCAAGCCGAAACACGAGGGGTCGTGGTACAGGATCGGTGGGAACCCAACCTTGGCGAAGCAGAATGCCTCCTCTCTGAATGAATACTTCCTCGTGCCTCCTCTTCAAGGTTGTCGGTGTTGCCCATCCTGGATTCCCTGTTTGGTGTACTTGAGGCTGCTTGATTCCATGCACTGGGCTAAGTTCACTGAAAGCAATGTACACGAATGGAATGGACAGGACATAGCGGGGTGCCGGGAAAGGCGGCCTTGGTCTTATGTTGCAGTTGCCTAGCTAGGATCAGACAACAGTCATTCCTGCCGATGAAGAAAAGAGCTAGAGCTAAAATCACCGAAACAACGGTAGAGGTTACTGACTAGTTACTGACTACGGTACTCTTCAGTTCCACCATGGTTATACCGGTGCGTACTACCGTAGTTCCACCATGGTTATACGTACTACCGTAGCTCCACTACCGGTACCGCCATCCAAAGAAACTGCATCCAAAGCTACCAGTAGCCGGCGAGAGGTGACCGGAATTACTCGTTTCGAAACTTGAAGGCCCAGTTGAGTTCGGTGCGGACGTATTTGTATTTGTAACCATCCCGCCTGGAGGGCAAACGAGCTTCAAAGGCATTGCTGACACCATTCTTTGTTGACAAGTCTTCTGTCAACAAGCGCATCGCCTCGCTTGTATTGTTGTTGTACAAATACTTTTTCAGGCCATACTCAGATTTCGAGACTTGGAATACAAGAGCCCGCGTTTCAGAAGATTCCTTGCCATCCATCTTGTAGTGAACTTGGATCACGTAAACTTGGATCCCAGGCTCTTCACATTTCAAGCAATCATAGAAGTTGGGTGTGTTTGCACCATCCACGGGCAATCCGAATTTTGTTTCTAAGAATGTCGTCAACATCTTTTTTGTGACCTTCTCCTTGGGGTTTTTGTAAAGCTCGTGGAAGTTCGATTGCTGCCTTTCGATTGCATCAGAAAAGGGCTGTCCACCAAGCTCTTTGAACGCCCAATAGATTTCATCAATTTGTACGTTGTCCATTTTGGTTTTGGTCTTCTTGGCCTTCTTGGCTTTGACTACCTTTAAGTCTGCTTCCTCCTTGTCCGAGAGAAACTGGCGGGTAGCTACAAGTCTGATGGACTTCACATCTCCTGCCTGTCTCTCGCCTTTGCCGAATGCCTCCAGAAGCATCAGACCAGCGGAAGCCTCCGACTGAATATCCTTGTCCGTGAATTGGACAGCTTTCATTCCCTTGGTATTATCGTGAATGATATGGTGGTTGGCACGCAGATGCAGTGCGTGATAATCAGTCTCACCATTCTCAAAATGAATGGCAACCAACAGGAGAAAGATGCCTGTGCTTCTACCAAGAATGTAAACCAGACTATCCTGCTGGAAGGGAACCTGAACATGTACACCCAGCGAGGCCGCAAACGCTTGCACTTCAGCCAAGCTGGGATCCCCACTTGCATCCTTCCCGACCTTGAGACGGTCTCGAACTTCTTGTTTTGTCAAGTTAAGGAGCCGCTCACGAACTTCTGGGTTCAGCTCATCGCCCTTGGTGGTTGCCAGAAGCCACATGCACGTAGTATTATTATCTTTTGTTCGAAGAAGGGAAGAAGTGTCAGCATGGTTTTGTGGCTTATCAGTAAGGGACAATCCTCAAACTTACCGGGGACACAAGTCCTTCCGTCGCCGTGTGCTCTACCCACTCCATCGATTGCCTTGACGTCCTTAATATTCATTCTTGTCCAGCCACCAGTTTGAAATAGCTGTGTAACGGCTGCCAGAACGGATCGCTTTAGCTTGTCGTACAGCTCCGAGGCTGATGACTCGGGCACATTCGCAAATGGCATCAATCCTGAATTGTTCTTAAAAAGGATCAGCTCGGGAGCCACTTTCAAGAGATATGCGATCACTGCATATCTACCATGCTTGCAGGCAATATGAAGGAGGGTATCCCCAGAGTCATCTGCGACCCGTGCTGATGCTCCTTTCACTATGAGACTCTCGAGCTTGTCTTTGTGAGGGCAAGAGATGTGTGAGAACTCTCTCGCCTGTTTGCCCGCGAAACAGTTGCACTCTTGAATAACTAAGTGAGGGTAGGATTCCCCATTTGTGTTGCAAGCATTCCAGTTGAAACTCTCCTCCAAGTGAAGATCACGAATGGTTTCGGCCGAGCCAGAGCATATCTCTGCTGCTATGTCTGCCGAAAAAGCAGCCTTTCGCTCCTCCTTGGTGTGTTCTCCAGAGTGACGCTTCCAATCTTCCGCTAGAAGTTTGGAGTGAACAGAAAAAGCTTTAGCACAGATTGTCAAGCGTGACATGATACCTTACATTCATCATGTTGCACTTACAAGAATATTCCAAATATCTGCTGGTGTTTCCCTTTGCCTGATTCTGTTCAACTTGAGCCAAGATATCTGCCTGTAGGCTGTGCTTCTTTGCCGTCTTTTCAATCGCCTTTTCGCTGGAGGCTGCTGCAGGGGTCTCAGTCTCATCTAGATCGATGGACTCTTCCTCTGCTCCCTCATCCTTCCTCGAAGTATCCGAATCCTTCTCGCTGTTGTCCGAGGCCAAGGCCATTCTTTCGGGACTTGGAGCATCATCGTTCAATTCCGGAGTGCTAGCTGACTCTTTCTCATCCTTCCTCGAAGTATCCGAGTCCTTCTCGCTGTCGTCCAAGAACATTCTTTTGGGGCTTTAGAGCATCTGACTCCATTTCATCCTTCCTCGAAGCATTTGACTCAGTCTCATCCTTCCTTGAAGTATCCGAGTCCTTCTCACTGTCGTCCGAGGCCATTCTTGCTTTCGATTCGGGAGTGCTAGCTGACTCCATCTCAGTTCGTTCCTCTGTGGACTTTTCTTTTGAGAGCGAATTGTTATTGGACAATGCATCATGGTCGATATCTTTGGATGTGGTTAACACCTTCTCACGGGCCAGTTTACTGATTGTGTCAGAGTTGCGAGACGTGTCATGGCTGACACTGTCTTCCTTGTCGCTGGACTCGGCTGCAGGCATCTCAGCATCGTCTTTCTCCTCACTAGACTCGCTGGACTCGGCTGCTGGCATCTCAGCATCGTCTTTCTCCTCACTAGACTCGCTGGACTCGGCTGCAGGCATTTCAACCTCGAGACCTTCCAACTCTTCGCTGATCTTGCCGTGTTTTGCTGCTTCGTCGTCGCCATCATGATCTGAAGCGTCTTCATCACGTGGCTTCGGAGCGTCATCCTCATCGTCGTCAGTAGCTGATTTGTTGTTTTGTTCCTCCACGGACTTGCCACTTTCTGTATCGTCTTCTTTTTCGCCGTCGTTATCATGCTCCGAAGAGTCTTCCTCACGTGGCTTCGAAGTGCCATCCTCTACTTGTTCTTCCTTTTCTTCCCCATCCTTCCTCGGAGGACCGGACATCTTTTTGGGTGCTGACTCCGTCTCGGCGGTACCTGAGTCACTGTTTTGCTGTTCCTCGACAAGTTGTTTGGAAGCGTCATCCTCCATACTAGCAGCTCCATCCTTGGATACTCCATCGATCTCATGGTCTTCTTGGGACTTGCTCTTCTTGGTCAAATCATCAGCAAAAGTGACTGTCTTCGTATGTTTCCCATCTGCATCATCATTTCGAGTGCTCTTCGATGCAGCTGTGGGACTGGAATCTCCACCGATCTTACCGTCAATGTCACCACCTGGAAATGAATGATCTGGCCACTTTGGAGTGGACGTTCCTTTCTCCTCCTGCTCGAAGGCTGGCTTTTCCGAAGTCTGGCTTTCCGAAGTCTTGTTTCGAGGCGAGCTTTGCTTGGTGCCCCTTCGCTTCTCCCGTGATGCCTCCTGGTGACCATCGCCGCCATCATGGGCATCTTCATCTCCAGCGTTGTCCTCTTTTGCATTATCCACCGTAGCATCCTCCTCCGTCACGACAGCTGCATCTTCTTCCAAGGTCTTGCCATCATGGTTGGCATCCTTAGCCGATGCATCCTCTTCATCTGATGCCGCCTTCTTCCCGTCGAATTCTGCAGATTCATTCTCGCCCTTGGCTGCTGCCTTGTCTTGTAATTCATCCTCTGGCATAGTTGCTGGCTTCTCCGGAGTACTGTCGTTGGGCTTCTCTTCCGAGGCCATTCTTTTGGGACTTCGAGCATCATCGTTCAATTCCGGAGTGCTGATGGCTGACTCGGACTTGCCGCTTTCTGCGTCGTCTTTTGAGGGCGACTTGTTGCTGGACAAAGCATCATAGTCGATATCTTTCACTGGAGCGGATTGTCGCAACTGCTGCATCAAAACTTTTTGTTTCGCTTGCTGATTCCTGCGTGCCGTCGTTTGCATCAGTTCCTCCATCGTATTCTTGTGGACGGATTGGTTCAGAATTCCTTCCACCCCACTGGGCGAGGCCAAGTCATCGGGATCGGATGAGCTCGGCCCCAAGAAGCTCATACTTAGCCCTGCCGAGCTAGCTGAGGATCGACGACCAGATTGCCAAGGGGAACCATCTGAAGGACTAGAGAAGCGAACGCTCTTCTTCTTCTTCGCCGGTTTGCTGCTTGTGTTCGAGTTTCTGTCATCGTCACCAGTGCTATCCTCACCGTGGTCAAGTTGTCCATCCTTGGAATCTCCACCGATCTCATGGTCTTCTTGGGACTTGCTATTGGTTGATGTGATCGATTCAGAAAGATTCAACGAATCAGAATCATAAGAATCGCCTTCTTTCCTGGTACCCTCAACTGTTGCAACTGTTGGAGGAGGCAAATCATCTGTCTTCGTACGTTTCCCATCTGTCGCAAAGGATTCGTCAACATCATTCTTTCGAGTGTTCTTGGATGCTGTTGTTGAAGCCTTGCGCTTTCGCTGAGCCAACTCTTGCTGGTCAGCCCTTGCGGAACCAAAGGGAGGTGTGTGAGGTTTCGGAGTAGAAACAGGAGGCGATGACACCCGCAGAATTGGCGAAAGACCACCACCAAAGTCTCCTTTGAGCACATTTTGCCCTTTGTCTATGATGAGCGGAGACAATGCTTTGTTGTCTGAATCTTGGGAGTCTTCGGCAATGAATTTCGTACCCAGCACGCTGTCTAAGCTAATATCGCATTCCTTGCTGTCTTGGCTTTTCTCGGCGGAGGATGGAGATGAAAGATACCCAGATCCTCTCGATCCGCCAACTCCACCTGCTGCTGCAGTTGGTGTTGGTGTTGCTGTTGCTGTTGCGGCTGGTGCCGTTGCGGTTGGTGCTGCTGCTGTTTGTGTTGCCGTGGCGGTTGATGCTGGTGGCGCTGCTTTGGTTGCTGCCGTTGCCGTTGCGGTTGAAGTTGCAGTTGGTGTTGGCGCTGGTGCGGCTGGTGGTTTGGGTGGTGATGTTGCTGCTGGTGTTGCTGCTGGTGTTGCTGCTGGTGTTGTTGCTGCTGCTGCTGCTGGTGTTGTTGCTGCTGCTGCTGCTAGTGTTGCTGCTGCTGCTGCTGCTTGAACTCCAAAAGGATCAGGGTTCGATGCTGCGACTGCTGCGGCTCTTGCTCCGTCTCCTGTCGGGGGAGGAAACTTGAGGGGACTCTTTTTTTTAACTGCTCGCGATTGTCGACGTCGTGCTGCTGCTGCTGCTGGTCGTGCTGGTGCCACTCTGCATCTTTTGGTTGCTCGTTGGTCCATGCTTTTGGGGGTCATCTCATTGGCTTTTCGCTTCGGATTGGTAGCAACATCAACAGCAGCAATGTCAGCACTATCAGCACCATCATCTTCTTTGTCCTCGGCATCTCCTTCGTCGTCAATTTCCATTGAGGAAGCGTCATTGTCTTCCATTGAGGAAGCGTCATTGTCTTCTTCAACTTGATTGCGAGCGCTGGTGTCGTCTTCTCCAGCATTGCCATCATCATTGTCTTCGTTCTCAACCTGCAGCAAAGACGTCTCGTCGCTTCCATCTTCTACTTGATGGTGACCGTGGTCATCTTCTCCGGCAGCTCTACTTGCTCTAGGCAATGGTGGCGACAATCCTCCTTCTGGTACTAGTAGCACACGAT